CCTCCCTTGCCTCCACCTGCTCACCTCCTCACCTCCCTCACCTCCTCCCCACCTCCTCACCTCCCCCCTTCCCCCACCTCCTCACCTTCCTCACCTCCTCCTCACCTCTTCACCTCCCCCCTTCCCCCACCTCCTCACCTCCCTCACTTCCCTCACTCCTCCTCACCTCTTCACCTCCCCCTTCATCCACCTCCCCCCTTCCCGCACCTCCTCACCTTACCTCCCCCCTTCCCCCACCTCCTCACCTCCCTCACACCCTCAGTCCTCACCACCACCTCCCGCCTTCCAGCCAGAGCCCCTTCTGCCACAGCCCAGTGGGCCACGCAGCTTCTTGGCACTGGGCGCATCTCTGCGTACAGCACCACTGAGGCCCTGTGCCCCGAGCCCCACACACTCGTCCTCCGCCTGCCAGCCCCGACGTGAGGGACATGCAGCTTGGACGTGGGGTGCCCCCCCCGCTCTTGAAAATAATCCACGTACTATCACAGCATTTAAAAAGGGCTTCAGATCACCTTGAGGGAGCACCTCCCTCCACGCCTCCAGGTTGAGGCCTGGAATGTTCTTGCAGGACTCAAAGTCCCTCGGGAACCTTCCGGCCCGGAAGGCGTCGGGGGGCACGCTCTGGAGGCCCGTGTTGTCACAGATGACCCGCGACAGGGAGTGTGTGGCCAGCTGGTGCCGTTGGGCCTCCGTGAACACCCCGCTGCTCTCCCACCAGAACCTGCGTGAGAGAAGGGGGCAGCGCGTGGCTGCGGAGAGCCCGGACCCGGCCGCCTGTCCTCCGCCAGCTCGGCGCTCCCAGACTCCTCACGCCCAACACGCTGGGCCGGGAACCAGGACCCTCGTGCTCGCGGGGCCGGGCCTCATGCCGGGGTCGGCGCCCACCTGCCCCACTGGGCAGACCCCTGAGAACACCCCCCAGTGGGCTTCTGGGCGCCAGAGTCAGGCACCTGCTCACCGCTGAGGCCGGGCGGGTGGGGCGCCCACAGCACCGCAGGGGTTGAGGCGCTCCCAGGCCCCATGTGCTGGCCTGCGTGCGCCCCGTCTGGGATAACCCGGGCTGGCGCCCCGCACCAGGGCCCAGTCCTGCGCACCCACCGGTCTCCGTCCCTTAGGGCCTTCATCTGCCTCCCGATGAGGCAGGCGAACAGCGGCCCCGTGCGCGCCTGCGGGAGGAAGGGCTCCACTAAGCCGCCCAGCCAGACGTCGATGTTGTCGGGGTGGCCGTACAGGTCCATCATCCGGGCCGCCACGCTGGCGTTGGCAGTGGCCGCGAGCAGGTGGGCGCGGGTCTCCAGGGCGGGCAGGCCGCAGAACCGCCTCCACGCGTTGTATCCTGCGGGGAGCACGGGCTGCAGCGCCTACCCCGCCTGCCTCACCACTGCCTCCGCCCACCGCTCCCTGTTCATGACGCCTGGCTAGAGAGAACCCACTTCACTACCCCTGCCCTGTAGGGTGAATGTGCTAGAATATTCCGGCATCGACGGCAGGGTCTTCCTGAAGGGCTTGTTCATAAACTTGGTGGGAAGCGCAGTAATGCTGGATCCCAGACACCATGTTTTACTGTGATCATGACTCAGCCCCCTGGGGCTTTGTGGGGGGCTCTGAGCAGGCAGGGCTGGCTCCCCGACACACGTGGCAGAGGGCACATGTGAGGCGTGGCCCCGACCTGGAGGGGCTTCCCAGGCACCAGGGAAGGTGTGTCTGCAACACAGACTGGGTGGCAGGTGGCTACCACAGGTGACCAGACAGCCTGACTACGGATGCCCCAGAGGAAAGGCCACGGTGGGCATCGGGGAGGGTCTCAGGGCCGGACGGTGAGGGTCAGGACAGGTCAGGATGATGGGGCTGGACTGGGCACGGCAGGTGGGGGTGGGGAGCTGGGGGCCTCCCCAGAAGAGGGTCCCCACCCACACAGTGGCCAGGGGATCGGACTGCTGGGGAGCGACAGCCCAGAGGCAGCAGAAGGCTGTGCTGACCTGGGAGGTGACAGGGAGGGGCCGTGACAGGGAGGGGCGGTGAAGCCATGACAGCCGGCCTCTGACCCCCTAGAGCTGCTCTTGCGGGCTGCCAGGTGTCAGGCCTGAATGCCTCCCTCTTTCTAACACCCTCGGCTGCCCCCCTGGAAACCCCTGGTGCCCTGAGGGCCTGTCCTCTGAGCAAGCTGACTGCGCTCCCAGTGGATGTAACAGGGCACCTGAAAGGCCCAATTTGTAGAAATTGGACAAAGGATGGAGACACATTTGCTTCTGAGAGAACAGGGGCAGGAAGGAGGTGGGTGAGTCCAGGGAGAAGCCCAGGGAGGTGAGTCTAGGGAGGTGAGTCCAGGGAGGTGAGTCCAGGAAGGTGAGTCCAGGGGGAGGAGCCCGGGGGAGGAGCCCGGGGAGGAGCCTAGGAGCAGGCGGACCTGGCAGGCCGTGGTCCCGGCCCCGCTGCAGGTTGATGGACGCCAGGTCCAGTGTGCTCGAGCTCCCCAGCACGAACAGCCTCTCCGTCAGCTCCTCGTTCATCAGCTGGCCCTGCACCTGCAGCTTGGCTCGCCTCGAGAGAAGCCCCCTCACTAGGGGGTCCAGTCCGCCTGGAAAATACCCCGCAAGGGCAGAGATTTTCTCATGAGTCCTGGGAAAACCACAGTGTCTTAGATGGTCAACTCTACTGGTTCTTAATGGATTACTCCTTCAAGTTGATGAGCTCACTTCAGGTGATTCCGACGACTTGCCGTGTGGGTGGGTCAGCCCCTGGCCGGGGGGCTGACTGGTGACTGTAGGGGACAGGCCTGGGGACCCAGAGAAGGAGACAGCAGTCCTGACTTTTCTGCTGTGTACCAGTGACGACGGGGTTACTGGTAATGAACGTGAGCTAAGGAGGCTTCTATACGAGCTCTGAAACACGGGACGGAGAGGTGGCTGCGCCTGGTGGCCACCTGTGGACTCGGAAGAGCTTCAGATCCCGGGGGAGGTTTTCTAATGAAAAGTTTACCCTTTAAAAGAGCTTTGAAGGTGTCGATTTTCCCCGTAAACACTGATAACCACGTAGCATTCGGGCAAACGTGCTGGGGGCTGCCCTCGCCACGGTCTGTGGGTGCTCTGCCGGGAAGCCCGCAGGAGGGAGCCGCACCTTCCCTGAGGAGCCTCCAGGGGCTGAAGAAGGCGTCCTGCAGCCGCAGCGGGGGGAGGGCGGGGTGCTCCTCGAAGCGGGCGTCCAGTCGCCGCACCAGCGGGTGCACCGTGGTGTGGCCGAAGCGGAAGGCGGCCGTGGAAAACACGTTGGACACGGTGGGGTCCACAGTGGGGTCATAGCCCTCGTAGGGGCCCACATGCTGCTGGAAGGCCTCGGGGCCCAGGACTTTGGGGATGTAGTCTCGCATGGTGATGATCTACGGAGGAAGGAAAACAGGAGCGCTTCTGAGAAGGGGTGACTCCCGCAGGCCCAGGGGCCATGCGTGGGACACATCCAGACACGGGGAAGGTCTTGCTCCCGCACGTGCCCGGGGCTGGAGGTGTTCCAGGAGGGACATGCCATCCAGGTAAGGGGACAGGTGGACAGGTGAACGGATGCAAGTAGTGTCCTCACAGCTCTGGCAGTTATGGGGCTGGGCAGCATGTCAGCGACACCCCCAGACGCCCCTCAGGGGAGGCCACACAACACGTGGGCACACACCATGTGGACACCGGGGCTGCCGCACCACGCCCCGCTTCATCCGTGGGCACCCCAGCAACGCCTGAGCTCAGGGCACAAGTCAGAAATCCAGGGGCTTCACGGACCTGAGACCAGAGCCGGGAGTTCGAATCCCACCTCCTCCTTCTTAGCTGTGCGACTCTGGGAGGGTGGGGGCCTCTCTGAACCGGTTTCTCTATCTGGGAAACGTGTGTCACGGAGTTTCCGTGAGAGCAGGAAACAGCCCTGTTTTCTGTAGTGGGTCTGCTGTGTGGGGTCCACGTGGCGGATACATTTATTACGGAGTGGGTCAGCGGGTGCTGGCGGACTCCCTACCCAGGAGCCGGAAGGAAATGGCGCACAAGTGGAAGGCTACTTGTGATCTGAATGGCTCTCGTAGGTTAAAGTTCAGGCTGAGAAAAGACCCTGTTACTCTTTTTCCCCCTGAATTGTGTCCGTCAGTTTGTTAGTTCCTTGTAACGGAAACACGAAGGCATGGGGCCGGCGGGGTCTCTGGAGCCGAGGCCCCTGCGTGGGTTTTGTAAATGAGGCCTTGTCCTGTTTTGGTCCCAACATGGAAGACACATCTCGCTGTCTAAAGGGGCGCCTGGGGGGGCTCAGTCGGTTGAGCGTCCAGCTTCGGCTCAGGTCATGATCTCACAGCTCAAAGGCTCGTGGGTTCGAGCCCTGTGTCCGGCTCTGTGCTGAGAGCTCAGAGCCTGGAGCCTGTTTCAGATTCTGTCTCAGTCTCTCTCTGACCCTCCCCTGCTCACGCTGTCTGTTTCTGTCTCTCTGTCTCCCTCAGAAATAAATAAAACATTTAAAAAAAATAAAGACACAGGACAGACATGGTGTGTGACCCTCCACAGGTGCCTTTCCCGATCAGGGGACTGAGCGGAGAGGCAGGTGCAGCCCCCTGATTGCACCAGGTCCTAGCTCCTCACCCGCAGTGAGGCCTCAAAGTGAAGTCTCCAAAAGCATGCACCCCTGCCCGCCCCCACGGGGCTGACTGCCCCATGCTGAGGGTCTCCCAGGACACAGCCCCCACCCCCTCAAGGGTTTTCCAGGCAACCTGTCATTATTTTAAGGTTTCCAAGGCATTTGCAAAAACACTGAAGAGAAGCTATTGACTCAAAAAAACACAGGGAAATTTAAAAGTGCAATGTGAGTCTGAGAAATGGTGCAACGTCCTGGGCAGACGCAGGGCAGGCTCCAGGGGGCGGGTGGGGCTCCGCTTCATTCTCACCCTGGGGACCCCGGACCCTTGCTCACGCGGGACAGCAGGGAAACAGACTGTCCTGGGGAGCTTGCGTTCGGGGAAGGGACACAGACACGACACAGAAAACACGAGGGTGACAGGTGGACAGCAGGGCACGTGCCATGGCCGATGCGGGGGCTGGGGCGCTACGGACGGGACCCTCTCTGAGGACGGCTGCCTGCCCCTCAGTCAGAGGCCACTTGGTTCAAGGTCAGAGAGTGCCTGAAAGCTGTCTGAGTTCTACATGAGACTGTGACAGGTTCCCGGGTCACATTACATTGCTGTCCTCCAAATCTGCCTAAATCCCCTTCACAGGCCCTACCTGCTAATCACGTCTTTTATGTCACAGACTCTGCGTGTTCACCTCTGCGGGGCTCCCTCCACCGCCTGGTGTCCCCTGTAAGCTTGGGCATCAGGTTCCCACGACCTGCTCCACCCTCCAGCGCCACACCCTGCAGCTCCGGGCTAGCAAGGGGCGCTCCCCACCCGCCCCTTGCACCACGGGGGTCCCGCGCTCCACTGCTCCCCCCCTCGCTCTCCCACCCTCCTTCGCACCCCCCGCTGGCTCCGCGCGCTCGCACTGGCACGCAGGCGCCCCAGTGGCGTCTCCTACCTGGTGCAGGGCGCCCACCACCTTGCGCGCCTCCTGGTAGGCGGTGTCGGCGCTCCAGTGCGCATTGAGGGCTTTGAGCGCTTTGGCCAGGCGGTTGTGCTCCCGCAGCCACAGCGTGTGGACTGCCGTCAGGGCGGGCACCTCGCTGGCGCGGCCGTCCCCGGCCAGGAAGCAGGGCGCCTGGGCCGTCCCGCGGGTGCCAGGCTCGGGCGCGCAGCCCGTGGGCCCCGGCGGCCGCGCGAAGGGCAGGTAGGCGCGGCCGGCGTCCCGGTGGCGCGTGTTGACCCGGAGCAGCCCCTCCGCACTGGTCCAGTTGCGCAGCCGCTGCTCCGCGGCCGGGGAGCTGCCGTACACCGTGGACGCGTCCAGGAAAGAGGTCAGCCCGTTCATCTGCTGTCGCGGGTGCGCCGCCGTCAGGTTGCCGAACAAGGTGCCTTGGATCCCGGTGCCACAGGCGGCAGAGGAGCGGTAAAATGGCAAACAGGACCTGCCTGTGGTCTCGGAGCCGTTGGTGGGCAGCTGCCGGGGAAACGGGGACCGGGTCACTCGGCCTCTGTAGACACCCTGCAAGCTCTAAGAGGGCCTGGACCCAAGGGCACGGGCGCCGCTGTCGGCTCCGCCCACTCCGGTCTCCTGCCCCGCCCACGCCTGCCTCCCGCCCCGCCCACACCTGCCTCCCGCCCCGCCCACTCCTGCCACCCGCCCCGCCCACACCTGCTTCCCGCCCCGCCCACTCCGGTCTCCCGCCCCGCCCACTCCTGCCTCCCGCCCCGCCCACTCCGGTCTCCCGCCCCGCCCACTCC